GAGGGAGGATTGATGCTAGAGCTGTGAAATCTTGTATGTATTGTTTTAAAAAAAAACAACTCTTTTTATTTATAAATATGTTGTTTCCTTCCAACTAAAATGATATCTGAAAACTTCAAAAGGAACTTGTAGTGATTTCTCTTGAAAATGGACAAAAGTTGGCATTGTGATGTTACTAATTGCCTGCAGAAAAGGGGTTTATTCCCTGTGGGCATTCATTACTTTTTAGTCATTTACTGTATTCACGAGATATTGTACATAACTATTTATCTTTTTTTTTTCAGATCAAAAACTATTTTATTCTTTGGTAAACTACAGAAATCAGTTCTTTTTTGAGAAGGATAAAAATTCCAGGGTGCGTGTAGATTTAATTCGGAAGTAACCAGAAGATAATAGGGGAAAAATGCAGTCAATATATTCTTCTCTAAAGTTAATATGGATAATGATAAAATATTTAATATTTCATTAATTTTTATTTAATATAACCAACAAACACTTTCGTTACCTAAAATAATAAAATCATTTTTTTTATTCGTCTGGCCTGCATAAACGTACATTTGACTATATGTCATTATCTAGTTTCGGTTTAGTTAGGCTGGGCTGATTGGATTTCTTTTAGATCTTTTGTATTATATCCGGTAATAATTACTTGCTATCGTGGTCGATGAATAAAAAATGTGTGAACGATAAATAACAGTAGTTATTTGCTATAGTTGAGCATACTGGACATTGATACAATGTTGTAGAGCCATTTTCGATATTGTGATACCATTTACAATGTTGTCGTGCCATTTACGATGTTGTAGTGCCATTTACGATATTGTAGTACTATTTACGAAGTTGTAGTGTCATTTAGGATGTTGTAGTCCCACTGACAATGTTGTCGTACCAATTACAATGTTGTAGTCCCATTTACGATCTTGTACTAGTTACGATGTTGTAGTCCCATTTACAATGTTGTGTTACCAATTACGATGTTGTAGTCTCATTTACGAAGTTGCAGTACCATTTACGATGTTGTAGTGCCATTTACCCTATGGTCTAAACCAGTACTTTGTTGAACGTGTGCTCTATTAAATCATTGAATATCACAGACGATTGGATTGATAGAAGGTTTACAATTACGGAACTATTTGATGGTAGGGACGCCAGCAATCGGGGATTGTATGAGTGTCGGCAGAAAGGCTCATAAGTTGACCAAGATACTTTCATGGAATGTGACTAAATGAGGTTTAATTTTCAGCATAGTGCCCCTTGCCGTCTACACATAGCCTCTATATGTGTTGTAGTGCTTGGATCCCACTGGTGAAGAAGCGTTCATCCTGTTTGGCCAAAATTCATCAAAAGTATATGTAACGTCATGGTCACTCCGATAGTGGTTCCTAGCCAATTGTTTTTTTTTTCACATTGGGAAATGGATGACAGTTAGATGGGTCCAAATTAAGAGGCTATTGAGGGTTATCAACCAGTTCAAAGCCAGTCATACACAACAGCTACTGAAGCCGAGTACATGTATACAGGAGCATTTCCTTTGTGAAACGATACATCGTTCCTCAGTTTCTATGTTCATTTTGTCTTGATAGTCTTTAGTAATTACCTTAGCAAGGTGGCATCGTACTCTCCATTGATGATTTGAATCTTTTTAATATACTCAAATAAGACACTGCCTTTTGATGACATGACTGATTACATTTAGCATTAAAATGATCTTTTAAAAAATCTCACATTCTATACCAACTGTTCCAAGGACTTCAGAAAAACCTTTTCAAAATAAAAAAAAAACAACAAAAAAAAAAATGAATAAGACCAATGATAGTACATACTCAGAATCTGATATGTCCCAGAAAGTGATATATTTGTTCGAAGTAGCAAAGTGGTTTTGGCCTACAGTAACCGAGTATGGCAATCTAGCAGGTAACCGTAATGGACTGGGTCCTCATCGTAGTGGTAGGCAACAGGCGTAGGCAATAGGCGAAGACCATAGTCGTCCTCATGTACCTCCACATCAGTCTGTATTTATGGCTGATACAAGCCAATCATATTACTGTGAGGGGGAACCCAGTTGTATGCATATTCATTACATCAGAATCCAACATAAGAAAATCAGTATTAGGAATTAATACACTCTAAACAATGCAAAAACCTCGGTGTATGGATTAGTTATATCAAATTTAGTATTTGAGATAAAGGAATTGAACAGACTAGAGGTTGAAACATTATAAAATACTTTCAAAATAATGACCTGAAAAAAAGTAATGTTCTTAAATATACTCGTACGATCTAGACTTACATATGGATGTCGTGTATGGCGTCCATCTTTTTTCAGACACGTCTAAACATTTATCTTTATGCGACCTTTCCTTAGATCAATGGCCAAAATATTTTCAATTGAGTGAAGAAGTTGTCACTTCATCAGACATGCCATGCCAAAACACAAAGAACTATATCAAATAACAAAAACTATATAATGTTAACATTTTCAGCAACAACAGAAATGTATAGCGCATTTAACCAGAAGAAATATAATGCAATTGTTAAATTTCCACACTCGAAAAAAAAATATTTGTATGGAAATTCCAATCAATTCTACAAAAAGCGATAATAGTGAAACTGAAAAGTTTATTTTCCTGAAAAACTGTTTTACGAAAAAGATTTCAGCCAACAGTTATCCTAATTGCTCGGTCAATGATTATCGTCTATTGCCGGCATGAAAACGACTATATTTCACCATTACTATTATCAGAAAAATGATTTGTAAAAGTTTTTGTATAAGAATGTAATATAAATTATATAACAGTGTGCATTGTGAATGGCATTATTGCTAGAATGCATTGTAAATTAATTTACTAATGGAAATAATATTTGAAATATCTCAAAATATGGACTTGAGAAGAATAAATTCTTGAAAAATTGTTTTTAGAAAAACGTTTAGAAATTTCTACTTTAAGTTACTCTGGTGAATGAGTACGGAACAATTCCTCTGTGGAAACGGCTAAATTTAAAATTATCTTTACCAAAAGCTTCTCATTCGATCTGTAATGGTGAGGATAGAGACTAATCAATAACATGAAACTTGAATCTTCATTAATATTTTAACCAATGCAGTATTTCGTCAGTTACCAACGACCACTTCCGCGCCTTTTTCCGATATGTGGACCTTATATTCTCCGCTTCTATCTATGAAAGACTGACCAAATTATTTTCGAAAATGTTCGAATGCATTTTCCAATCCTCTTCTGTCACGTTTCTCTACACCGCTGGAAATATTTTTTTAAGGTGACCCCCAGCTCCGTCGTTACGACCCACTTGATAACCTCCACGCCTTTAAAACGTGTCCCCTTGATGATTTACTTGAACTTGGAGGAAAGAAAAAAGCCTCAAAGAGCAAGATCAGACTAATAGTGAAGATGCCCATGTACGTCGATGTACTTCTCGGCAAGGAACTACCGAATTCTCAGGGCGTTGTGAAGCAACCACGATTTGTCCTGTCACAAAAGCATGTAAAAAATGCATTGGTTGCAGAAACTTATATATATATATATATATATATATATATATATATATATATATATATATATATATATATATATATGTGTGTGTGTGTGTGTGTATGCATATATATATAGTGTGCGTGGGTATATATATATATATATATATATATATATATATGTGTGTATATATATATATATATATATATATATATATATATATATATATATATAGTGTGGGTATATATATATATATATATATATATATATATATATATATATATATATATATATAAAAGAATGAACAGTAAGATATATAATCCGGTGTTCTTATAGATATTTTTTTATTTTTACAAAATAATGCTCAGTGTAAATTTACAGAGCATTAATTTTAAAAAATTAATTGATTTAAAATATGGTTTTATCGCTAAACATTCCTAACCATGTTTCAAAAATGGAAACAAAGATTCGAATTTAATTTTGTAATTAAATTAAGGACATTAGTTCCATTCCATCCTCAAGCGGATTTTGGAGTAACTTTTAAAATTACTGGGTTTTAAAGACAAAAAATCTTAATCCACGTTTCCAAGGATACAGAGAAACCCATTCATCTAGACAAGGGGTGTTTTGAGTTCATTATCGCTGTATTTTGTTGTGTCAGTTATTAGTTATGTTTTTGTATATATACATATATATATATATATATATATATATATATATATATATATATATATATATATATATATATATATATGTATGTGTGTGTATGTAACTCCTAAATTCTCATGGCAGCCAGTGCAACACCAGTGTGAGGCCACGTAGCTCTGCATTATATGGCGGGGAGTAACCCTAGATCAACGCTTGAATGTACCTTCTTTTATGGTCCGGTATGAATTGTGTTCCATGTCTTTTCCAGCATAATGTTCCATGCCTCATGCCAATACAGGCCAAGGTTTTGGCGCAACACTGTGGTGTAGATGAGGTGTTATATAAACCTTGAAAAAAACTGTCATTTTTTCTGACATTATTATTCATAAACGAAGACATTTTAATATGGAACAAATTGTGACTAGGAAGGAAAAAGTTGGAGTATGTTATTTCGCAAAGAAATAATCAAGATATAATTCGTCTCGTATGCGAAAACGTATTGCCGTTAATTTGATTATTTTATGATGATACATCGTTTTACCATTAAAAAAATAACTAAATGAAAAGAGGAAAGGAGACGTTTTAGAATAGCATGATAGTCACTTGTCAGAAATGTGTAAAGCAGACGTCTTTAAAAATGTAAAATATACTAGTTGACAGCTGATCAATATTCGGCTTGGGAGAGCTAAGAGAAGAATTAACGAGACATTATTTAGCGGCAATAATCAGACAAAAGAAAAATAATTGTCATCTATGTTTGGCAGAGGGGAGAAATAAACTGGAATTTGTAAAAGCCTGTTGAGTTTACTCATTTGGAGAATAAAATATCAATATGGCGGCTATCACATATTTCTGGAACTGATCATGGATTGGGGGAAAGTCTATTTAACAGCAGAGCCTATTATCGATTGCAGCATGGGCAACTCTTGGTAGAATAAGTATCAGTAATCTAGATATCAGATTATTCGAAAAAATATCTGTGATTGGAAAAAAACGCATAAGACAAACGGTGATTGATTTCACTTACTTCAGATATTCATTTCTGTTTTGTTTTTCATAAGAAATATTCATTATTTTGTGAAAAATGAGAATTGGCTAAAAAAGATAAAAGATATCGATGATCGGAAAGAAATCAACCGGAAAAGAAGAAGTGTCTTGAACTTAGAGGAAGATTATTAAAAAAATACAGGCAGGTATGTTTTATTTTAATGAAAGAATATGATAAATTAAAAACAAAAAAAAAAACAAAACAAAATGATGTTGGAAAAGTAAAAAGAAAAGAACAATTGTTAATTAAGCCACACCTTTATATTCTTGCATAGGCATGCATATATTTTTATTTTCACTGGCTTTCCTTTTCTTTTTTTCCTTCATTTTTTATCTTCTACCTTTCTTCTTTATAGGATTTTTCCATATCTTTGTCTATTTCATCTCCGTTAACTCTTATTACTATTACGTAGATTTATTATTTAGACAGAAAAGACAGCAATCAGGTAGATATTACACTCTGATCTTAAGTAGACAAGCGTCACGATCCTAAGTAATAATAATAATAATAATAATAATAATAATAATAATAATAATAATCTAGCAGAAAAAACAAAATTTTGAAAATGTTCGAGAAATTAATTAAATACAAGAACACCGAGGAAGAAATCAGCAGAATGTGGAATCTCAAGAGAACAACTATACTTGTCGCTATTAGGACGCTATGAATGATATCAAAAAAAAAAAAAAAAAAAAATTACCAAAAAGACAACCATACGTGTTGATAATAGAACTATATGTATGATACAAAAAAAACAAGTTTGTTGTTATTAGGACTCTATGAATGATATAAAAAAAAATAAATTAAATTTTACCAAAAAGACAACCATACGTGTTGTAAATAGAACTATATGTATGATACCAAAAGGACAAGTTTGTTGTTATTAGGATTCTATGAATGATATCAAAAAGACAACGTTAGTTGTTGTTAGGACACTATGAATGGTACACAAAAGACAACCTTGCTGTTATTAGGACTTTATGAATGTTACCACAAAAACAACCTTACTTCTTGTTATTAGGACTCTATGAATGATATCAAAAAGACAGCGTTACGTTTATGAAATGCAAAAAATCCTCCTGGTGGATACTTCTCTCATCTTGCGTAGATTTCTATCCATGTAATGAGCACAATTAGATACGTATTTTTTTTTTAAATCTCTGATTGCCTGTCTCCTTATCGTTTTCAATCTTATGATAGAAATAAAAATTTGTTTCCACTTGAAATATATGGTCGAGACTTGGGAGCAACTGACACTGCACATAGAAAAGGTAAAATACAACCCCAACAACAATAAAAATAGTATTAAAAGACGTAGATCTAGGTTTTGTTATAAAGATTAGATAACTTGAACAAGGCGAAGGAGTCAAGGAAGGAGATCGAACAGAGCATACGGAAATGATGAAGAAGAAGAAAAGAATACTTCAGGTAAGTACGTCTGGTGTTAAATAGCAAGTTGAATTCGCGAACACGAATATCATCCATGAAAACTTTGGCTGCCCTTGTGTTGTTATATAGTTTCAACAACGTTATTTTCACCATAGCCGACATTAAGCGACTGGATGTCAAAACGAGAAAGCTTTTCATTTCCCACCGCATGCATGATCTCAAGGTTGATGTTAATCGTCTATATGTGTCGAGATCCACAGGAGACAAAATTAGTTCAACTGGAACTCTCTTAGTAAACCACAACAGTCGGTCTTCAAAGATAACTAGAAACTTCAGAAGTGTTGGATGATGTGTGTCAAAGAACATGTTGGAAATAAAATACGTTATTCAGTAGTAATGGATGCCAAAAAATTCAAAATAGAATTTCAGGTAGGCGAAGAAGTACAAATAAACTATAATACTCCTATTGAAGCGGCAAAGGCCTTATAAAAGGAAGCAAATGCAATATACTAAAAGCAGAAACGATGGCATGATCATTATGGTCAATATTCTGTCCATAGCAAAAAGTCTGAGGTAGAAAAACCGCATACCCACCAGTGGTTATGTAGTGCAGGGTTAAAAGCTAAAATCAAAGGTTTTATTCTTGCTGCACAGGGAAAATTCTTGCAAACTAGAAATTACCAAGCACACATACAGAAAAAATGTGTTGGACCAAAATGATTCTTTGATAAATATGCAGAAACAGTTAACCATCTTATAGCAGATTTCACTGTGTTAACATCTACTGAATATAAAAATCGGCATGATAGAGAGGGCTGATGTCTACATTGGAAAATATACAAATTTTACAGAAAAGAAACTGATATGAACATCGCCAAGTCCCGGTTACAGAAATAGAACCTGTAACAATTCTATGGGATTAATTATTAGCATTAATTGTTCTGCTTTTGTTTTTGTTTTTTGCAAAAATACACACAGACAGAGCATTTATTCAAATATTAAATGCCCAGATATCGAGATCAAAGACCACTTAAACAGAATGTGCTTCCCCTGGCAGTACTTGAAGACTATAATATATTTTTGAAGAAAAAAAAAACTACCACAATAGAAGTATCTTGAAATAGGAATCTAAAAAATGTGGCAAATGAGGATATCAATAATTCCAGTTGTAGTTGCTACCCTCGAATTGATTGGTAAATGTTTCGATAGGCTCATTGAATTGATTACTGGTAAGCCATGCTTTAAGTAAATACAAAAAAATGTACGCACAATTACAACTACTCGCACATTAGGAGGAGCTTTATCTCTGTAAAATGTCCGTAATTTTAGTTATTTTTTTTTACAAAAATGGTCAGTGTAATATATCTTGATGCCATTGTTGACCTTAGGTCTCTGGTTGGGATCCGGAAGTAAATGTTTATATAAGAGAAATCAAATGAAATAATAATACAATGATGCTATAGCAGACATGACACACGGCTTCTGATCTTAATTGTTTGGAGGTCTTAACATATACATATTTGTTTTGCTGAGATAATCTACACTAAATACCCCTATCAGTACGACAGATTTGCTTGTCAGTTGTTTGACCATAACCAGTTGAGCATGTCTCTTAGAGGATGATACACTGTATTTCCCGTTCATGTGCGGTATTACTAAACGTGTATCATGTGCGTTAACATGTACTTTTTGTTTTTTATTCCTTTTACTATGAAAGTTGCTACATCGAGTGTGCTTATGATTCACCTTTATTATATATATATATATATATATATATATATATATATATATATATACATATATATATTTCAGATTCGTATATTTGTACAAAGCGTTAAGTTTTTGGTGTGCTGCTCCATCATTTAATAATAAGTATAATAGTAATACAAGACCGTGCAGTCAGTATTATTTGGAACTTTGCCCTGCATATTAGGAGAGATACTAAAATTATTCAAGAATAGAAGCATTCTATGTAATTATAGCAGTTCTGCAAGATCAAAATATATCTGTCATAATAAAATAAGTAAAAATATGCATAAATTTGAAACCCAAGAAAAAGTGGCACCTTAAAATTACGATTATAATTATAATATTTCGAACCCTGGGTGTGACCAAAAATGGCACAGGTTATATTAATAATATTCATGGTAGACGCTATTTTCATGGGATCTAAAACAATTACACTGTGTGGAACGATTAAACTATTTAGGAGAATGTTATCAACGCAAAGAAAATGTCAAGAGTGTCCATATTAAATGTAATTTAACATCAGAATTTATGAAAAGGGCATACAATTATTTTCTCTTTACCGTATGTTTCAGGTAAGTGATTGTACTAAACAAAAAGTAATGTCCCAAATTGCTACAGAAAGAGTATAAGAGACGACATATTTGAATAATAAGAATATCCATTAGAAAGTGTGCCGTAAATTTGGCTTTACTCTGAAAGAGAAAGGAAAGAATATCAGCCAGTGGCAATATTAAAAAATGACAATCTCAAGATATTATGGGATTTCCCGGTCCAAATATCGAACCACAACCCAACGTTATTGTGAGCGATAAGGAAATTAACAATTATTGATTATTCTGTTCCATACGATAAGATACAAGAATGGACTCCAAAGAAACATGTAAGATTGAAAATGCCAGGATCTGGCTAATGAATTGAAGATGAATTTGAAGTTGGAACAATGCCTAGAAAGTTAAAATAGCACTTAGGGAAAATTGGAATTTGGAACAAGATAGTAATCTTCCATAAAACTAACACCATTTATGCTGTGAGGGTTATCTAAAAAGGTCTTTAGCTGTAAGGAGTCTTGTTGAAGCGTAAGAAAAATTAAGCTATAATAACCCAGAAAAAAATAAACGAAAACAAGAAAATATTAAAACTAAACTTTTCAGCACATATTTTTTCCTTTGTAAGGTACTCAGGACCATTCTTAAACTGGCCAAATACGGAAGTCAGACGTGAACCTAAACACGAGAAAACTGAAGAGAATACTTAATATACAACACAGATAGAATGATTAGATGTTTGTTTAAAGAAAAGAAAGAGACCTAAGATCAGAAATGACTTCATGACATTTTCTACTGTTCATGTTGGCTAAAAAGAAAGAAAGAGGGAAAGGATTAGACAGCACTGAGGATTTTCTTAGATCGCCAATCACAAGACTAGAATAATACACAACACAGAACAACAACTCAAAACACTTTCAAACGAATAGAAAACTCATAGGAATCTCTGAAAAAAATCAAAAAAGCAAGAACTCAGATGTGAAAACACATCGAAGAAAGGCTCATACATATGCAAGTATCTAGCTCCGCGGATGAAATCTTAAGAAATAAATAAAAAATCGCTCTTGATTGTGGCCCAAAAGGAAGTCGTAAGAACTAACCTTAAAAAAAAAACGAGGTAGAAAAACGAAGGGAAAAAGCAAATGTCGATTGTATGGAAATTATGAGGCGACATCGGGCTAAATAATCAGCAAATGTGACATAACGGGAAATAATACAAGAATTTGTTTGACGAAGTAGGAATGTCGATCCACTCTATGAGTGATAGCATTTAGTTCATACAGCAATGGTATATGCACAGACAAGTATTTGTCATGACGTAACATTTAATCACTAATGAGCAAGCCCTAAATCTGTACCCATCTTGACGAGTGGTCATACCCTCAAAGAGTGTCCCTGCAACAAACGCCTACGGGATCTAAAGCTCGCTCATGACCTCAAATGGAACGAGTATATTCGGACCCTCGCATAAAGGTAATGGAAGAATGGTTGTTGCTTTGTATCGTTCTAGAAAATAACTAGCATCTGTTGCCATGGTTTATCTTTACAAGAGTCAGATCAGACCAAATATGGAGTATAGCTGCTATATCTGGTCTGGTGCTACACAATCCTTAATGTTTAGCCTCGACAATGTTCAAAAGCGTTGACACGGCCTCGTGGATAATTATTCTCCACCTGCAATAATTAGCCCCCCACCAAAAAATCTATCTATCTATCTATCTATCTATCTATCTATCTATCTATCTATCTATCTATCTATCTATATATATATATATATGGTAGACGAGTTTCATTCCTTAGTTTTACCAGCTCAGAACTTCACAGCTAAATCCCGCCATGTCATGCTCACGGTGGAAAAGCAAACTCATTTCCTTTGTGTTGCTTTGATAAAGAGAGACAGTTTCACTTAGAGAGATTCTACCCTAGAACTGTTGCTTTTTGAAGCAAACTCCCGATAGAATACTTCCCTGACAACCACAGCCTTGGTCTCTTTATGTCCACGGTCAAACGATATCTATCCTACTTGTCCTCATAATATTTTCTTACCCTCCAACAATTTCACTCAGTAACCATCTATCTTGATTCGCCCCTTTATTAGTTAAACTAAGTGTAAACGATATAGTATGAAATATATAAATGTTCTTCAAAGAGATATCAAGACAGAAAAACTGTAGACAAAATGACAAAAAAAGGAAGATAATGGAGATTATCAGATCTGATAAACATCTAGACTATGAGAGAGAACTGGAGAACTTGTGGTTCATAAAGGTGAATGTCGTGCCATTCGTAATCGGAGCACTAGGGACTTTACTGAAATGTCTAGCAAAAAGATTGAATTTATTGGGTATCTGAGAAAGACTAGAAATCATATCTAGACGTTTCTGAAAACAGTGCAGATAATGAGGAGAGCAATGTAATAATTAATTAGTACAGGTTTGGATTATCCGTTTAATTTTGATACGAACTATCACGGAGGGTCTACTACTACTACTACTACTACTACTACTACTACTATTAATAATAATAATAAATTAATATTAGTATGCCCTATCGCCCACAGTAATCAAAGACCACACAAACATAATGTGCTTTCACAGTGACATGGCAGTCCTTGTAGACTATAATCTATCTTTGGAGATCCTTAAAAATATAAAAATGCAAGGTTCTTGAAGTGGAAATATCGAAAGTGTGGTACATGAAAACATCAATAATTGCAGTTGTATTTGGAAACCTCGGTTTGATTGCAAATGATCCCGTTAGACAAGTACTGTTCACACCTTAATCTATGTAAAATGTCTGTGATCTTAGGGTGTCTTTTTTTATTTTTTGCAAAAATGTTCAGTGTAAAATGTCATGATGCCATTTCCGACTTTAGATTTCTGGTTGCCACCTGGAATAAAATTAAATATATACCACAGAAATCAAATAATAATAATAATAATAATATGAAATTAAACTGCCATTATTTATTCTGTGAGATTTATCTGAAACGTTCTTAATTTGTGAGGATTCTTTTTGACACCCTATGTCAAGAACAAAATTCCCATTGACTTCGTCAATATTGATTGATTGATTCGTTTTCTGCGGCTTATCAATCTTTTGCAGTTTATTTGAAGTCAGAAAATATTTTTAGATCGTAAGAAATTTTTTTACATAATGATTTTTTGATACAGGAATTATTAATTAACCCATAACTGGGGTGAGAAGAGGTGCATTCATACCTTTCCCAAGGGTATTTGTGCGTAAATGAATACAATGAACACAAGTGAAATACGAACTAGGCTCTGCGTTGAACAATTCCAAGCCATTATCCATTACACTACCCGCATATCCAAACTTACAGCACTTGGTATTCCCAAGCGTCTAGATACTGACACGATTCAACATTGCTTAACTCGAGTGATCTTACAGAAACCAGTGTTTCAACGTGATGTGGCCGTAAATATGCAGTACCAATATGATATGGGATCTTGGGATAAAACACTTAGAATATGAAGTGTTTGAATTTTTCCATTGCTTTAGATAATTTCTATCCTTTTTTTTCCCAAAGCATTGTTACATTTCTGAACAGACCCCCTACGTAGATTCTCCCGTGAACACTTCAATATTAACCACTTCATGTTAATGCCAAATCGTTATATATTATCATTATCCTTAAAATCTTCGCTCACTATAAGGCCCCATTCATAACTCCCCATTTAATAAATAATGTATCTTGTGTGTCACTCAAGTGTTTTATTGGTTGAATTTTAGTATATAAAAATGAGTTGTCCATTTTATGTGATCAGAGAATTTGTACACTTTGAAAATTTAAATTTATTTGACTTTTATCAGAGCAATGACAACCGCATCAGCAGCAATGAAAGCAGCAGCAGCAATAATAATAATAATAATAATAATAATCATAATAATAATAATAATGGAAAACATAGTTAAACAAATCCGAATATGGAACCAAATGTAAAACCAGACTGAAAGAATTTTTAGTATAGAATATGGATGAACTAAAGAAACACAAAACACCGGAATATTTAACGAAATTGAAAAAAACAAAACAAAAAAATCATGTAGAAATAAAGGAAGGAAATAATATAGAACTTAATGGAAGCAATTTCAAAATACACACTGAAAAATAGTCAACTGGAACGAATGAGAACCTGTTGGGATCTGCTGGTATTAGTTTAAGTGGACCACGTTACACCAGAGACTGGCTCAGCAGCTTCAAAGCTGTCTGAAGAAAATTGCAGTTCCAGAAAGAATAACTAGACTTATAACAACCCACTTCCAAGAAAGTGCCTCCCCCCAAAAAATAAAAATAAAGAAACCAGGTAAACAACTACAGAACGATCAGAGTAAAAACCATTGATGTGGAAAATCTCAAGTGGAGTAAATAGAAAAATAAAAGGAATCCAGAGAAAATAGAATAGCCACTTCAGAAGAAAAGTCAGAAAAAGAGACGAAGAGATCGAATATCCTGAGAATATGATCTTGAAAAAATTATCATGCAGAAAATGAAAAATGTGCAATAAAATAACTTGACTACACGATAATATACGCTTTAGTCCTTCATAATTGGATTGTTTGAAATATTCAATATTCCCGGATCCATGGTGGAGTTCATAGATATTTCCATGAAAAATTTGGCAAAGTGAACATTACAGCCTGGATGCCACATAGTAGAAAATAACTATTAATAAATTGATTTTACAAGGAGATTTTCCTTTGTTATATCGATGTTAAAGTATAGCTAATTTTAAATTTGCCAAGAATACACATTCTACAAAATGAGTGGAAAAAATCTAACCCTTAATATTTATGGAAATTTATTAATAATAATATTTATATTAACAGTAACTAAAGTGTAAGCAGCACTTGAGAGTCCCACAAGTTAGAGAGTTGCTGAATGACGTATGTGATATATATGTCAGAAAACGTCGTAGAAAGCGAAAATTTTAAGGGTATTATATATAACGTATGGGCCTTGACATGAAAATGTTAAGATTCTGTTGTCCAAAGACTCATAAACAATGTTTCCCAAAGTACTCGTTCTTGGAAAAAAAAGATATAAATTCTCCAAAGCAATGGACAAAATAAACTAAGTTCACACAATATAAGGCACAAGAGTCCCACAAAGTGTTACTGAATGATATGTTTTATATGAATGTAAGAGGAATTAGTCGAAAATGACATTATGAGGATATATCACATTTGACCATTAAACATGTTACGTTTGTAGTGTGCAGAGAATAATCTACGATATAATTTGTTCCAGAAAGGAACAGTTCTAAGAAAAATCTTGAAAAACTTCCTTCTTACTAAAAGAAGGTGGAGGAAATGAAGGCATTTCAACTCGGTGGAGGTAAAATATATCATAAATCAATTTTATTTTATCTTGTATTTACTTTGTAAAAGTGGTGAGGGAAAGAATTCTTCCCTTGTATCGGAAAACTCTATAAAGAAAACAATATCGACAGATATGCGTTTTCCGATATCCTGCACAAATTATAATTTTAAAATAATTTGTGCATGATATCGGGAAAAATTGGTCTATTATGTATTTTCATTATAGCGTTTACCAATATTTTGCACGAATTATTTTGCACATATATTTTGCTAAGAAAATCCAAGAGATAATAAAATCGATTTCTAATACAGAGCGTGTCCAAGTTATAAAGGTCTGAACTGGTGAAACGGAAAATGGAGCTCATATGAAAATTTAACCGCGAAAATAGCTCCAATGTATCAATAGACTTACGACATTGTCTCAGACAATAAAAAGCTTCAAATTTAGAATGTATTATGAGATAGGATCATAAACGATTTTAAACTCCCATGGCCTAAAAACTGGGTTTGAGTGGCTCCAGCACAGATATTGCAGTAATAATACTTTTTTATCCTTTGGTCTGACTCCTATAAGACAAAACATGGAGGGAGGAATTAGTTACTTATTGAAGCTATAGAATGAACGGATTATTTTCCTGTCATTTTAGTAATTGATCGTAGGAATTATATTTGAGACCTGGAGTTAATTTGAATGTGACAAATGAAATTAACATAATATAAATCAACACAATCAGCTCTTTAACCGGCTAGTACAATTATAAATATATTGGCGTACTCGAATGTGACACAATAAAGGAGGAATTGAATCCATGTCTCTTCAGGACGTAGGCGATCATGGCACTGCACATCATCCTATCATTTGTATCACTTAGTAACGTTTGTCTTTTCACAATTATTTCTTATTCACTTGTTTTCACAATCCTTCTTCTGCAATCCATTTATATAACCTTGTTAATTGTGTAACTCTTTGTTACTCTGTGTCTCACTTGAATTAAATATGTCCGGTATGGGCTACATTATTTGATCTATTTTTTCATCTTTATTATGTGTCATAGAAATTTCAACTGGTTCTTTTTGATTTTAAATAATAGTATCCTTTGTTTTTCACTTTCCTTTAAACTTCCTTGTTATATGTTCAGTCCTCAGATTTCTCAGCATATAGAACCACATTTACTTCCTGATTTCTTCATCTTTGACAAGATTTTTCGGCATTCACTTCCATAGAGGAAGACCGATATTGCATAAGAGTTTAGGATTATTTTCTATTTCCATATTTCTTATCTCCGTGTCGCATTTTCCATCCTATGTTAAAACACTTCCAAGAATCTTTTTAGGAATTTGACATAAAAACAGACCAACCCGGCCATATTATGACATATTATGTAGATCATGAATATTGTAAAAAGAATATTTCAAAATAGAAAGACTTTTCTAAAAGATATCAGGGAATTCTGGTAAATCTTATCACTGGAGAAGAGACTTGATGCAACAGAAATGGGGTTCTGCAGAAGGATGCTGAGTATAACATGGATTGAACATTGTGAGCAACGAGGAAGTTTTAGAGAAACTAATCAAAAAGGTCAATTATACTTAACATCAGAAAGGGATAATTGAAATTTCTGGGGTGCATGTCATTAGGAAAGAAGGCTTAGAAAATTTGACACTTAAAAGAAATTAAAGGTAAGAGGGACAGAGGGAAGTGCTGTATATCCCGCCTAAGAATTTTCTGTAGATGTTTGATGGAAAAGGGGATTACAAGAGATAATGAAAAGCCGAAATATACTAAGACCTAGATAGTACAGGAACTAGTGGGGAGCCACGATCGATACGTCAGAAAGGGGAAGGGTTAACAGAAGGAGGATAATATCAGAAAGGAGAAACTGGTGAAATGAAAGCCTTCGGGATCAATGTATAAGGTTCAATACATATTTTTCACAAAAATTATGCATTAAAGAAAGAAAAAAAGCTGATGCAAAAAGGGTGCAGTTTTCCATAACGAAAATAACTCACCCTTTTTTTAGAGTGTGAAAAGATAATTTTTATATTATATATACGTGATATGGGAATCGTTCGCTCTGTGAGATTTAGTCAGCAACCGGGAATGTTCGTCTGTTTATTTTCCAGAAATATATTTTTGCAAATAGATGACCATATTTTTCTGGTTTTGTTGAAATCCTGTTTCTTGTCAATGCCTCTGAAATTGTAAAGATAAGTAGGCGCGTCCTTGGGGTATTTTTATGGTTGTCTTCTGAGTAAGCTCCCTATAAATAGCAAACGTCAGTAGCAATGTTGACGACCCATCGTTTCACGAAACCACTTTTTTTAAGAGAGTAAGCCTCTTGTTAGCCTGAAGAGTTCTCAGCTAATATCTTCAGGCTACTTTTCTTTCAAGGCTCCTGCAACCCGCCAAAAGGACACTAACTTCATAATACCGTCATATTATGTGTCACGGTTGTTGTCTTCTCTGTCATTAAAACGCTACAGGAAAGTCAAAATAGAGAAAACAGACATGTTATTCGTGTGAACAAAAAGATGAAACTAAATCGTATTATAAATGAACTAGAGAAAATATATTCGGAAATAATTTCATGGAATGCAGTGATTGACTGGGAATTTTAAGAACGATTTGAATTATAGACCAAAACTTGAAACTATCTTGTAGAACTGTAGACGGAAAATTCTTTGACGATATGGAATTCAGGAGGCTTTCTGGAATAGGTATGACAAGGTATAGTTATTGTAAATAAAGAAAATTCGTCAGGGAGTGGGTGTGACCTTGGTATATACTGAAAGTTATTGTAAGTTGGAAGTTAGATGAACATTGATATTTTGTTCGAAAACAAAGTAGAAGATGAAGAAGTATTTAATTTTAACAATTGATATTCCTGTAACATTATAAAAGAAAGGAACTGGAAACCCAAGAAAGAAATGAAAATCTTAGGAATTACACAATGATTGAAACCAAGAAGAATACCTAAAAATCTTGAACATTTGAAGTGATTGATCTCACTTCGATACTAAATGAAATTGATAATAGGTAGCAGGAGTAAAAAGTCGTTTGTAAGTATCTGTAGAATGTGAGATTGAAGAGAAATAAACGTTTATATCTAGATGACGACGCAAGATGATATTGATGACAGATTATGGATAGCGGCTCGGATTGAGGAATCGACGAGCCGCGTTCAAATTTCAATCGAGTACGTTACATTCACTTACGTGCAACTAACATTGTGAAAAGTATGAATCCATGTTTTCTCCCCCCGCCCAGCTACTGGTAAATATCAGGAAAGCCTGGGTACTATAGTCTTTTGCAGTTATGCGCAAATAGGAAGCCTTGGGTTCTGTAGTCTTATGTGGCAACTAGTCTAGGAGGACAACTCTGAGTTCAAAACCACCAATGATGGATAAGTCGGCGCTTCAGTTTTGAGTGGCAACCAACCTAGGAGAAGGATGAATCTGAATTAAAAAAAAAAAAAAAAACGTATGTAGCCCTGGCGAAACATATGCTATGCAGCTGATGAAAGGATCGGGAAGTTTACAACATGTCTGTCATCCCGACAGCAGTTCGGGTGTCTGCGTGTATGTGGGGAGTGGGTTGGATATGTGTGTGTGTGTGTGTGTGTGTGTGTGTGTGTGTGTGTGTGTGTGTGTGTGTGTGTGTGGTGCTTGTATGCGTGTGTGGGGAGATTGGTGTGGATGTGCGTGTGTGTGGTGCTTTTGCCTTGTGTGCGTGTGTGGGGAGATTGGGGTAGATGTGTGTGTGGGTGTATGTCTGTGTGTGTGTGGTGCTCGTGTGTGTGTTTGTGGGTGTGCTATACACATGTCTGCATTGCGTGTGTGTGTGAGAGTTCCGTCGTCAGTAAAATTAACGCATTTGATAGTGAAGAGGACGACGACGATCGTAATATCATATATATATATATATATATATATATATATATATATATATATATATATATATATATATATATGTATAAAAAAAAAAAAAAAACATGTCTTACTCACTAGTTACAATCGTCAAATTTTAACCCGCCCTGAAAGCTATCGATACTAAATCGATATTTATTTACATTTAGAATAGAAACAAGTCGAGGGTATTTTTATTATCTAATGGGGCCTTGAAAAACCATGACTGAGACAAAGTGGATTGAAGACCAATATGTGATATTTTCACATTTATTTATTTGTTTGTCAGTTATTTGCTCTGTCGATTTTTTGAAATTTCATTACAGTAATGATGTTGGTTTCTGAGATCTCACCGTTCCTTTCTTGTCTGTGTAGAAGAAAGCAGAGTTAAAAAAACAATTGAATGTATAGCTGTCAGGTAGAAATAATTTACTTTTTTTTTTAAACTCGTTTGACAGTGAAAACATTCATAAAATAAAACGTCATAAACACATTCAACGTGGCAAAGATAGTTGCATATTTCGTCCATATTATCCGTATCATTGTTCAACGGTTTACGGCCGCATCGTTTCACCAAAGTTAAGCAACGTCGAGCCTGGTCAGTACTTAGATGGGTTAACGCTTGGGAATACCACGTGCTGCATGTTTGGATGTCCGGGTGGTGTAATGGATAATGGCTCAGAATTGTTAATCGGAGAGACATGTTCCAATTCCTGTTAGGTTCGTTATAATCAATTAGGCGCAAATACACTATGGAAAGGGAGGAATCTACATCTCCACAAGGCTATGAGTTAATTAGTAAGAATTGTGTCAGTAAATCATTATTATCTGAAAATAAATCTTAATATCTAAAAAATATATATTCTGGTTTTAAATAACGTGCAAAGTGTTGATAAGCCACGGAAAACGAATCGATCAATCAAGCAATCAATCATTATTCAAAGCCTAAGTAAAACAAAAAATGGCATAATTTCGAATACTGATTTTAAAGATAGGAATTCTGTATATATCTGAAAAGATATATAATCTTGCTTAAGATAATCTATTAACTAACAATCCTTCATTCATTGGATATTTTCTTTTTAGTATATCAGTAATACAACACGTTCAAAATATCACGATAAACATCGAACATTTCATAAATAAGGCTTAAAAATTTTTATATATATATATATATATATATATATATATATATATATATATATATATATATATATATGTATGTATATATATATAAAAAAGAGAGAGAGAGAGGGAGAGAGTGGGAGCAACTTCGGTTCTCCAATGTCTCACATGTCGAACAAATCGGTTTTAGAACAGAAAATTCGAGATGAAAATTGTTCGGTTATCGAACACAATTTCGGTTTTCGAACACCGTTGCCGAACTGAGTTAATCCGAAAGGAATCATTTCTGAGTCGACCGACGTGTTTTATACATTCGTGTTTTGTGCCTGTGCTTTTCTTTTCCATTTTCATTGTACTGTGACTTTTTTTTATCTACATTGATTCCTATTGTAGATATAGTTTCGGTAGGTTTTCGAACATTTCGGGTTACGAACGGCGTTCAGGAATGAATTAAATTCGTGAACCGAAGTTCCGCTGCACACACACACACACACACACACACACACACACACACACACACACACACACACACACACATATATATATATATATATATTCAGTGGTGTGAATATGAGTTTGCGACCCTTCGCTTTTGCGTTCATCAGATGAAATGTTTTGTTTTTTTTTTAATTGGATTTATTTATGCTTGTTTGTGTTTGATTATGTATGTATGTATGCATGTATGTATGCTCGAACGCATCGATGTATATCTGTGCCTACCCGCGGATTGTTTATATGGGTGTGTTTGTGTGAACTAAAATGCGTACAGCTGTATGTATGCGTGTTTATGTGTGTGAGAGTTTCGTCCTAAACAAACACCGAAGAAAATTCCCCCTCCCACCGCCAAACATAATCAAACAGAAACAAGGAAAAATAGATTCAATATTTAAAAAATAAACAAGTTTTGTCCTCTTCCACTTTTCTGTGGATGTATTTGATAAATAGGTCAGCATGTCTAACAAGACCACACATAACCACTGTTATTATTATATGTCTCTTAATTAAGATGGATGGGAATACATCTGTCTCTTTTCTTCTTTAACTTCTTTTTTCCTTTCTTAATTTTTTTTTGATGGTCTTTGTCTTCCACGCTCTCAATCACATTACATCTCCTGCCACCAATTTAAACCTGCCTTCTCAAACACATGTGTGCATAAATTAAAAATTATATTACATAATTCTTCTTACGCCTGGAATATATGCCACCCTTATATTTATATGAAAATGTCAATCTAAGGATTTAGGATCAAATTTTGATTCTAAGAAAATAAGTTACAATCATGAAACCTTAAAGTTGTCTGTTTCTTAATAATAATTAACATTTGCTCTGTTTTTACATTGAGCTCTCTGGATTATACTCTCCTTCGAATTATCCATATGTATTACCAAACGCTTCATTAATCTATCTATCTATACATATATATATATATATAAATATATATATATATATATATATATATATATATATATATATATATATATATATGGTGAGAGAGAAAGAGATTGTGCTGTTTATGTAAAAAATATTTATTTATATATTAGTTGCAAAATGTAATAATGCGCCTAAATACTTTCGTTTATATTTACCCGTATTTAACGTCAATGTGATGTGGTGTCTTCACCTACTGCAGTGATTAATAATCTAGTATTACTATTTTACCTACACTTGTAGTTTTATGAGAATAAACGCTTGGTGATTGACAATATCATCGATGCCCAGTTTTATATATTCCTAGAAGTCATATTACATAAACACACACACACACACACATATATATATATATATATATATATATATATATGTATATACAATTTTGTTGTTATATATATGCTAGTTGTATACATATATCCTACTATTAACTGACACGTATACACATGTTATACACACGCACATATATATTTAGAAAATACCATGACAAATTAGAAATTTTCCAGTACTGTTTCTTCATATATAAAATTATATGTCGTTATGTCACATCATGTATATATATATATGTTTTATTGCGCTGGAGGGTGTCGTCAGTGATGTAATTACACAGGTCATTGGGTAGTTTCGGGTCTTACAACATCATACCATCCTCGCTGAGTCGACCCCGTCAGAGGTGATCAGGCTCCGACGTACCCTCCTTCTGTACCACGCTATGCGACACTGATTTTTATAATTGTCTCAGCCGACTTGTACTCGATACTAGCAGGATACACATAGGGAAAGTCCATAGCGGTCAGGTAAGTTGGTTTATTCAAAATGTCAGAATGAAGAAATTTTTGTTAATTTGTTGCTAGTTTTTAAGTTTATATATTAAATATATTATTTTATATATTATATATATGTATATATATATAGATGTGTGTGTGTGTGTGTATTTGAAACATCGTCTGAAATCGTATCGTCTTCAGTGACCCATGTAGTATCCTGTGAATTGCAGTAAGTCTTGCTATATCCCCAAATGTTCAGTAATCCACACAGAGCAAATGACTTACTATAAATGTTTACTCTATTTTCCTCATTTTGTAAAGCCCTCATTAAAATGATAGTCTCATGGGGAAGTTGTCTAGGTGAAAAAAAAAAAAACCAACTTGTATACTATAATTTTATTTTTGGGAAATTTTATTCTAGTCAGCCAAACACACGCAAAACTTTATACCCATGAGAATAACACTGCCAATTTGTCAATTTAAATTGGAATTAATTTTCGAGTTTTATTTACATTTGAAAAAATCTGTTGGTTTTAAAAATCCATGACAGCCATTACAGTCTGACAGAGAAGAAAATTTTAAACTGTTTGGCAACATCAACAGTTTTTATTAAATTGATTAAATGAGACTCGTGATCGACAAAAAATGTCCTCGAGTGAGGAGAGTAATTCAAATGTCAAACATCGACGACTGGTTTTCTCTTTCGTCTTATGAACGGGCCAAAACTGTTCGCACGTCAACTGTCCTCTCCACAGTTATTTCCAGTTAGTTTAGCTTTTAGTTAACTTCTCATTTCTCTGCAGATTCGGATTTTTCTTACTATTTTGACCTTCTCTGTATTTATTCTTTTATTTCTTCTATTTCTGTTGATTTTCTTGTAGAGTTTGTCTGTTGTAAACACTTTTTATTTTTTCTACTATGTGAAGCCCGGTAGTCCTCCATGAATATTAGATGAGAAGACGAAAATTTAGGGTGCCGTTTATGAAACACGAGCTAACAGGATTCGGTATGCGTAATTATGTCTCGTCGGAAACTGTCTTTTATTCTTAATGTATGTTATTTACAAGTCGCCAACATGTAAATAGCGTAGATTAAGTTGCAATGAAAAACGACAGTAACATGAAAAAAAAAAAAAAACAAAAAAACAAAAAAGAGATAAAAATTAGTAGTTAAAAAGCTTAAGTTCAGAACTGGAGTCATTGAATAACTTATTTAAAACTATATTTTGTTAACTTCCTGAAAACAAACACTACATTATATAACATTCTAACGAAGAACGGAAAAAAAGTGTTACCGAAATTCGTGCATCCTGGATAAGACAATAAGCTACATCCAACATCAAGGCCTCTGATCAGGTTGTTTAGAGGAACGTCGAATCACATCTTAATTGCTGGTGTTCCCAGGTCCATCCTGACCCGGAATAGTAGCACCTGTTAGGGTCCCATCTATGGGCAAATAGTTAAAACCCAAACTGGGGCCAAAAACTATCTAAGTGTTAAAATAGGTTTTAATACCAGCAACACATTTTTGTAAAAAAAAAAAATTATTACCAGCAATGAATTTTTGAAGAAAAAAGTATTAACAGCAATACATTTTGAAAAAAAAAAATATTACCAGTAATAAAAATCTTGTCGGTATTAAATATCATTTTGGGGTTGATATGCCGTAAAACAAACCAAACCAAAACAAACCAAACCAAACCAAACTATAAACTTTTGAAAAAAATTATTATCAGCTACACATTAGATAATATCAGCTATTATTAGCTACACATTTTTTGAAAAAATATTACCAGCGATATATTTATGAAGGAAAATATATTACCATCAATACATTTTTGAAAGAAAAATATTGCCAGCAATACATTTGTGAAGAAAAATATTACCAGCAATAAAAAAAATATCGGAATTAAATACCCATTGTGGTTGATAAGCCGTAAAGTCAAACAAACCAAAGCAAACCAATGCGAAATTCGCATGTGCAATAGAATGGCGAAATATGCCTTTCAAAAGCTAAGAAAACTATTAAGAAACAGGAAACTTTCGTTAGAAACAAAAAAAAGTTTATTAAACTTTTATATAATATTAGTCCTTCTCTATGGCAGTGAATGTTAGACAATCTTCTCACATACGAAGAAAAGGCGTGTGGTAAGAGAAATCTTGTTCTATGAAAGGATGCTGAGAGTCCCATTGACTGAACATGAGCGTAACTAGGATATTTTAAGGAAAACTGAAACAAAAAGGACGCTTCTACTTAGAATCAAAAAGCAAAAGTAAACATTTCTAGGATATATAATGAGGAAAGTAGGCCTGGAGAATCTAACA